CAGATGTACCCCAAAGCAGAGAAGGGAACCCCGGGCCGGCAGCTTTTTCCACACCGGTAGTGTTCGGTGTTAGGGCAGTTGGCAGTGCTGACCCGGGCTTCTCCCTACCTGGGAGTCTAGAGGTTGTCGGAAGGGGCACCAGCAGAGCTCCGGCGCGAACCCGGGAGGGAAGGAGGGACGGAAGGAGGGGCGCGCCGCTGCAGGGCTCGCGCTCTGCTCCGCAGCTGACGGGCCGGCGATCAGCCGGGCGGTCTCGGGGTTGCGCCAGTGGGCCCCTCACGCCACTCCCCGGTCCCACAGCCGCGCGAGGCCTCATGAACCCGGAGCGACGGTCCCTCCCCGTAGGGCTGGCCGCTTGGCCTGAGAGGGTAAGGGCGGAGCCGGGGCCAGAGGTCGCCTTTCCCGCCCGAGGCTCTCACCTGCCGCCAGAGCTGGCCGGGCCAGCGGACGCCGGCTAGCTCAGCCCTCTAGGGCCAGGCCCGCCCACCGAAGCTCCGCCTCCGTCCCGTCGACGCCCCGCCCCGCCTCCTCAGCGGCAGCCTGCTCACCTCTCCCGGCTGGGGCCGTCCCGACAGGATGTGACGTATCTGGGAGCGACCAGNGCGCTGGGGCGCGCGCCCGGCTACCTTCCGGTTCGCAGTTGGTCGCTGCTGGGTGTGGTCTCGTGAGGTGCGTGAACCCAGCGTGAGTCTTCTACGGTCGTCGCGGGAGCCACCGGTTCCGGGTAGGGGCCCCAGTCATTCCCAAACACTCTGCGACCTCTTGGGGCAGTGACACACAGGCTTAGCTGTTAGCAGTGCAGCTGGGATGCCTGGGGTCAGGGTTTTGGCCATGTTCCCTCTCCTGGCGCCCAGCCCTGTTGTAGTCTGGGGGCCGAGTCCGACCAACCTGGACACCTGGTTCCAGGCGCGGTCTGGTTCTATCTTCCTTCTGGCCGCATTTACTCTGCTGGCACCAGTGGACTTGTCCATCTTTCAACACTATTTGGCTCCACCAGCAAGGTCCAGAGGATTCACAGAAAAGAAGTGCAAATAGATGGCATAAGGATGGGCAAAACGGTGGTGAAGGTGTAAAGACTTGGGAAGACAGTAGACAAGTGCAGAGCCGAAGGGGATTTGCATGTTCCCAAAGGCTGCAGGGCAGTTGCATTCAGTCTGCCAGCAGGTCAGTGGCAACCCACTGCTTGGGAAGAATCTCTTGTCACAGCTGTGATAGAGGCCCTGGTCCCTAAAGTTGCAGGTACTTGCCCTGAGGGGTCCACAAGACACATCGTTGAGAATGTCTAAAAAAGCCACATCATCTCTACTTTTATTAATTTTTTTCAAGTAAATATAATTTTAAAAATAAGTATGTCTATTGATTTCAGAGAGAGGAAGGGAGAGAGGGAGAGAGAGAGATAGAAACATCAATGATGAGAGTCATTGACCTGCTGCTTCCTGCATGCCCCTTACTGGGAATCGAGCGGTAACCCGGGCATGTGCCCTGCCCAGGAATCAAACCGTGATCTCCTTGATCATAGGTTAATGCTCAACTGCTGAGCCATGCTGGCTGGGGAATTATAATTTTAATAAAATTTTATTAAACTTATTTAAATACATTTAAAAAATTTGTATTTGTTTTATAAAGCTCAGTGTGCATATGAAACGTGTAGATATACACGTGGTGGGGTTGCATGCTCAAGAGGATTTGATTTTTGTGGGTGATGAAAAGTATTCAAAGGCCATAGCTCTAGGCTGTTCTTTAGCCTCAGAGGACCAGTAAAGCATAAGCCATTTATGTGTGGACTTGGTGTCCCAGAACATTTGAAACTGCCCCTCTCAAGTGGGGTTGAGGGGTCCTGATGTAAGCAGGCTGGCACACGTGAGAGGGCTTGGCTTGGCACATGCTGCATTGAGGACTGCAGTTTGCAAAAGTGGTGGGGAGTGGGCTGTCTAAGGACAGGGAAAAGCTGGCCAGAGGGATAAGGGGAATGGTTCTGGTGGAAGAGTAGGGGAAGGAAAACCTAAAAGGTGTGTCCTTCCTGGAGGAAACCTGCATATTTTTTTGTTTGTTTCTTTTTATCCTCACCCAAGGATATGTTTATTGATTTTTTAGGGAGGAAGGGGGAGAGAAACATTGATGTGAGAGAGAAACATCAGTCATCCCAACCATGGATTGAACCTGCAACCTTTTGGCGTATGGGACAACGCTCGGGCCAAGTGAGCCACCTAGCCAGGCCGAAACCTGTGCTTTTATATTACCACTGAATGGGAATTGGTGCCAGGAGTCAGGGAGAACAAATGCAGTTAGAAGGTTGCTCCCCATTATCGTCAGTCACTTCAGCCTTCCCTGAAAAGCCATAGTGCTGGGGTGTCTGACATGAGGGAATTTGGAGGCCTTCTCAGCAGGAAAAAGGGATGGCTAAATTGAAGGCAAGAGAATGTTTGTAGTTAATTTAAGGAATTAATAATTTACCCCAGAAGAGAAGGAAGGGCTCTACAAATCAGTCAAGGATATCTAGTTTCAAAAAAGAAGTCATCTGGACTGCGAGAACAGATAGAACAGATTTTATATATATAATAACTATATTATATATATAATAACTATATTATATATATAATACAGTTATATATAATATTACATATATTATATAATAACTANGCGCCCCAGGAAGCCCCCGCACAGACAAAACTCAGAGGTCGGGGAGCCCTCCGACATTACTATGATAATGAATTCTGGATGCCTCTGACACACACAACAAAGAGATGGGTTCTGAGGATAGCAACTTAGCAGGTCAGGGAGACGCAGGGCTGTTGACTCAATGCGGACAGAAGGGAGCGGCCTGAGCATCTCCAGGCGGGTCCTGTGGCCTGGACGTTTTCCTCGGGGAATGGTAACGAAGTAAGAAGCCCTGTGGCGGTGTGTGCATCACGGAGAAGGCCAGCACCTGACCCCACATCCGAATACAAGCACCTCCTTGCACCTTCCTCCAGTTCCCTCCGCTGGGTCTGTAACTCAGGGAGGACAGTTGGAGATTCTCATAGGCACACCTCCCACCCCACCAGAGGGGGGAAGAATGGCACCCACAGTGGCCCTGGAGGATGAGGTCAGGCAACGCCATGCCCTAAAGGTGAAAGTTCCCTTCTAGCCAGCTGGGTGACAAGGCTGGAATCACTAGGAGAGGCCCAGGCTTTCCTCCTCTTCTTTTAATAAGTTAATTTTATTTATTTACTTTTTAAAAAAATATAACTATTGATTTCAGAGAGAGGAAGGGAGGAGAGAGAGACAGAAACATCAATGATGAGAGAGTCATGGATCAGCTGCCTCCTGCATGCCTCTGACTGGGGATGGAGCCTGCAACCAAGGCATGTGCCCTGTCCAGGAATTGAACCGCGATCTCCTGGATCCTAGGCCGATGCTTAACCGCTGAACCCCGCCCCGCCAGGCTAGAACAAATTATAATGACAGCCAAAATAACACAAATGCACTTCAAATGGGAGACCTGCCACCATATTATTAATAGGGTCACAAATGGTGACCAGAGAGGAGTGCCTAACTTCTCCCCAGGCAGAGGCCTCCCGGAATACTATGTGATAAATAAGGATGCATGGAAGCATATTCTATACAAGCACAAGGATGAGATGTATTTGATATTTACAAGGAAGTGTATTGCCTACCTAGCATCAGGTCACAGCACCTCAATTTCCTTTGGGGGAACCATCTCTACTCCACTCTTGGTACACAAGGTTTGTCTGTGGATGACCCCAATGCTGGCCTCTGGGGTAGGCACATGCCCAGGTGTAGCCAATCAGAGCCACACAGACTGATGCAAGGATAAGCCCATAATCCAGTCTGGACCAATGAGAGTCCCCAGGGACAAGTACTGGAACTATTGGGAAGGTGGGAGCTCTTTTTTGGCTGAGGTTGCCTTCCCCTACCTGGAGGAGACAGTATGTTTAAGAAGGAATGAAATACAGAGAAAAGCAGAGCCAAGAAATGGAGAGAGTTCATGTCCTGACGACTTTATTAGAGCTAGTATCACCCATGGGCTTTGGGGTCTGTTACAGAAACAGTAAGTCTCCCTCCTGTCATTATTTATTTTTGCTTATGCAGTTTGAGTTGGAATTATGGTATTTGTAATTGAGGACGTTATAATCCTAAAGTGTAGGGCTCTGGGTGGGTGGGGTGACATCGTGGCAGAGGACTGCAGGATAAAGCTTGACCTCCACTTTGGAAAGTTGGGCAGGCTGTGCTCCACACTGCTATCAGCTTCTAGCCTGTGTGAGGCCAAGTGGGGGATAAAGCTGGCCTGTTTCCATCTGTGTGACTGGCTACCCCTTGTGAGGGCACAGCCCCCTGAGGAGTTGGGAGCTGTCACTGGGGCTCAATGTCACACTCCCAGCATATAACTGCCTAGCCCATGGCAGGCATCTGGTGAATGTTTGGGGAAGGTCGGGCAGTCACAGCAGTTGAGAGGCACAGTGCAGCCTACAAACCTCCCAGCCTTGCAGTACAGACCTTCAGTGAGGTTCCATTTCATTTGATTACTGCAGTAGCCCCAATGGGTACGTTGGGGTTTATTTATACTATTCTCTCTACTTTAGGGGACCTTTGAAAATTTCCATAATAAAAGGTTTAAAAATGAATACATGTATGATACTATAATGGTAGATACACATCATTATATATTTGTCAAACCAACAGACTACCACACAAGAGGGAACCCTTATGTTAACTTTGGGCTTTGGGTGATGATGACGTGTCAGTGGAGGTTGGGTATGTATGTGGGAACTCTTTCTCTGTACTTTCTGCTCAACTTTGCTGTGAACCTAAAACTCACTAAAAAAAGAGTCTATAAAAAAATGAATACATGTAAAGTGCTTGGCACAGGGTTAGGCTGGGTGTCAGCTTCCATGATCATCTCCTAGGCAAGCAAGCTGGGCCCTCTTTGGGTCTCCACTTCCCTGACCCTTCCTGGCATCACAACCAAAGCCTCTCACACCTCTTCTGCCTGTTCTTTAAATCTTTTATTTCTTGACACTTTGCTCGCACTCTGGAAGCACTGAACTCCTAGAAGGCAGAGGCTCAGGAAGCCCACCTTCAGAACAGGACTTGTAAGTCTACCACCCCCACCATGGCCCCCTCAAGGCTGTCTGGCTGGTGCCCCAATTCCTCCCATCTAGGAAATCCCAACTGCCTTCTCTTCTTTTTCTGACTCCAGACCACTTCTTTGCCCCCTGGATGTGGTATTCCAGCAAAACTCCTGATAGTTTCTTGCTGGTTCTCGTTCAATGAAGGGAAATATAACTAATCTGTGAGAAATGACAAATAGTCCACATGACTCTGTCCTTTGCAGTCCTGATTTCAAAGGCATCTAAAGTTGAGTGCTGTGGGGAGACACACTAGCTCTCAAGGAGGCTGGGTGTAGTGGGGAGACCTGTGGGCTGGTTTTAATCCCCACCTGTGTCCCTACAGGCCTGTGCTATGTCCAAGGGAGTCAGTGATTTTCCTGCAGCCCCAGAGAGCAGAACTGTCTCCCAAGCAAGGATATGGGGCTACTAGCTGGGGAGCTGCTCTACTCACTGCCTGAGTCACAGCTCAGCAATGGTAGGACATGTCCCAGGCAGGATTCTTGGAGACAAAGGATGTTTGCTAAGGCTGTGGGGGTAGGTTGGCTGAGCCTTCAGGACACATCCCTCCCATCCCAGGACAACATGACCCCTGACTCAGTGCTGAATGCACTCATTCCACTGGGGGCACCAATTTATTAAGAGGCCATCTAGAAGCTGGTTCCTCTGACAAACTGCAGGAGCCGCCACCCACTGCACTAGGGACAGTGGCCAGGCTTACTACCTTACCGCCCTCGCCAGCCAGGCTGTAGGGCGGTTCCGTCCTGCAGAGAGTGGGGCAGGAGGCAGCCAGGTCCCCTACCACAGCTGCAGGAATCATTGGAAACAGGACTAGCCTTTAGAGTAGTGAGTGGCTCTGGGGCGGAGAGGTTCTGGAAGATGCCCAACCAGCTGGCTGTGCAGTGAGGGGCAAGTACCCAGGGCCTTGTGCCTGGGGATGCTTGGGAATTGGGTGGGGGCTGACTAGGGAAAGCAGCTTTAGGAAAAGAAAGAGATGGGTACCTGGGCTCCCCTGACAAAGTGTGATGAGGCTGACCATTGCAGTCCCCCCACCAGTCACACACTGGTCACCGGTCACCACCTTCGAGCCCTGATGTGTTGAAGCAAGAGAGCACTCCTGGTCAGGAATGGGGTCAGGACTCAGCCCTGCGCTGGCACTGCTGCTGCCTCCTCCGGGGCCGGGCACACGCAGCCTCCCTCAGCCTGGTCCTTGCGCTTGTCTGGCTAGCTGGCTGTGGTTCTCCTAGGGATGCAGCCTTCCATTTCCAGTGCCTCGGGCCAGCCTTCGTACTTATTGGTGTGCCTACTGTTCTTCACGTGCTGCAGGGGGGGTTGGGCAGGAAGTCACAGCCTCAGCCCTCAGGTACAGGAGACAGAACTATCAGTCCCCTTGCACTGGTGTCAAGTAACCATGCACTCTCAGGGCACCCCGGCACACACACTCCCATCCTAGCACCTTGATTTTTTTTTTTTTTCCATCCTCACCTGAGGATATTTTTTCCATTGCTTTTCAGAGAGTGGAAGGGGGAGAGAGAGAGAGAGAGAGAGAGAGAGAAACATCGATGCACATCGAGAGAGAGACGCACATCGATTGGGTGCCTCCTGCACATGCCCCGATGGGGGCCGGGGATTGAGCCTGCAACTGAGATACTTGCCCTTGACCAGAATCGAACCCAGGACCCTTCAGTCTGCGGGACGACACTCTAACCATTGAGCAAAACCACCTAGGGCACCTTGATTTTCTCATCTAAAAATGGCAATAGCTGCATTGGCGTACCCTCCTCACAGGTGCAGGGAGGGGGGGGTGTCAACTTCTCTGCACTTCTGTGGGCCTGGCACACACTGGGAAGGTAAGGAGGAAGTCTGTATGTCTGTCTTCACCCAGCCCACACGGAGCTGCTGGAAGAGCAAGGTCAGGGGGGGTGTTTCTTCTCTGGGGGCTAAGTTGCTCTTTTGGTTTCTTTTCCAGAAACTACTGAAATAGCCTGTTTATCTTGTCCTGCTATGGGGACAGGACTTGGGGATACCATGGCTTTCACAGAGTTGGGAGCCTCCCAAAGATGAGGATGGCACCTGGGGTTTACCCGCCCCTCAAACGAGGTCTGACATGTGGCCCCAGAGAAGCAGATGGCAGCCAGCGCTGGTGGGAGAAGGGTGTGCAGTGTGAATAGGGATTTTAGGTTTTGGGAGGATGGAACAGGACCAAACATCTTGAAGATGTTTGGGAGGGAAGTTTCTTAGTTGTGAGTCTTGCCTGTGTGAAAGCTATGCCACTTAAAGACCCTTTAGGGTGAAATCCATACAGGACAGGGAAGATCAAAATTACTGCCCCTCCATGGGCAGACTGGGAAGGGGCTGGGGCTGTCCAAGGTGGGGGTGCAGGGGCAAAATTTAGGAAAGGCTGCAGCATGAACAGAAGGGGACCTCATGAGATGCAGGTAGAAAGACCAGGCCACCTGCCCTGGGCTGGGAATCGGAGGTACCAGGCTCTCCACTCATACCTGCTCAAAGGGGCTCTTGTTCTGCACACCCTTGGCCCCTACAAACACCCAGCTGTCCCGGAAGGCCAGGTCCTTGACATTCTTGCTGCCCAGATCGCTGAAAAGCTTTCTGGTTTCTTCATTCATCCTGCCACACAGAAGGAAAAGATGTGAGCTGTCGCCATAGGAGGGGAAGGCTGAAGCTGGCCTGGGCAATCACTTACTTGGTGGCTGGGTCATCGTAAGATGCTACGAACACCAGGGTGCCTTCATGCAGTGGCCGAATAAACTTCAGTAGCTCGTTGACATCTGGGGGCACAGGTCCCATCAAACATGGAACATCAGACATCACTGAGCATCCCTCTCCCACCAACCCCTGTTCTCCAAGTGAGTACACTTAAAGTAGGGATCAGGCCAGGGACACATCCTACTAAGGGTGTAACTGGTGTAAGAAGCCAAGGCACTCCCCATGACCACATACCTGTTCCTCCCCCTGCCTTTTCTGAACCCAGGGAAGTGCTTGAGAAGCCCCCAGCAAATGGACAGGGAAAGCAGTGTTTCAGGAGAAGGATACCCAGTCATTCTGCTGCACAGTCAAAAAAGGGGGGCATGGCAGCCACTCACCTCCTGCCCACATGTCGAAGGCCCGGGCCTCAATGAGCTCACCGCTAACTCCTGGGTTAGAACGGAGGATCAGGATCTTGCTGGGCAAGCCACCAGGGCAATTCCATCCTATCACCTCAGTCCTCCCAGACCAGGCTCACAACATGGCATGGCCACTGGGTGCAACCCTTCTGGAAACTTTTCAAATATCCCTGCATATTCATGTCAACTGTGCCCCTTGTTCAGACAGCTGTGACCCACTCAAGGCTGCAGAGCTTCTGTCTGGCATTTGAGGTCCCCCAGGGGTTCCCAACAAAGCATGCTTCAAATTCCTGCAAACTTCCAATTCTTTATTGCTACCATGCTTTTGTTCATTAAGTCACTTCTCTGTGAAGCCTTCAGCGAGCACAGGCCCCTTCCCTACCTCCCTAGGAATTCTGGAGGGGAGGTAAGGGGAGAGCCAAGACAAACATCCAGATGCTCCCTCCTTGTGGGGAGGGGGTGGAGAAGGTCACAGCAGGGTTCCCCCTTTCCTGAACCAAACTGTGACCCCACATCATAGCGAACTCACCATTCACCAGGGCAATGTTCAGTCCACGGCCCACGTTGTCCTTGACACTGCTCATGAGCCTAGCAAGGGGAAAACCCTCAAGTGGCAGTCTGCTCCACTCTCCTGACCTTGCAAACCCAGCCTCCAATCACCCATTCCCTCTCCCATCCCACTCATTATACCCAAGGGAAGGAGCTCACATCTTGTCCTCGAGGCAGATCTTGGGTCCGATGACATTGGCAGCCCCGCTGACCATGCGGAAGGCCAGGTGTTCCTCAGGACATGGCTGGGGCAGACCGCACTTGTACTTCCTGGCCCGCGGCACTGGGCAGGGACAGCAGGGGTGACCCATAGGCCTAGCCCTAGGGTCACCCGAAGTCTGAGAGGGGAAGGTCACGACCACCCCATAGGGAGGAATGAGTGATGACACCGCAGGGGACCAGTGGGGGGAGGGGACATGGCTCAGGCGAGAGACACTTTTTTTTTTTAATCCTCACCCAAGGATATTTTTTCCATTGCTTTTCAGAGAGAGTGGAAGGGAGAGGGGGAGAGAAAGAGTGAGAGAGAAGTATGAGAGACACATCGATTGGTTGCCTCCTGCAAGAGCCCCGACCTGGAGCTGGGGTTGAGCCTGTAACTGAGGTTTGTGCTGTTGGCCAGAATCAAACCCAGGACCCTTCAGTCTGCGGGCCAATGACACTCTAACCACTAAGCGAAACCAGCTAGGGCCAGGGACACTTTCATAGACACTCTATATCTGCTGGGGCTGGTCTCAGGGCAAGGTGGCAGGGATCCCAGGGAGGCTCTTCTTCCACTGGTCAGAGAAGAGAAAGAAAGAGCAGCTGGGAGGGCAACTGCACAGATGAGCACACAGCCAGAACAGACTGCAGGAAAGCAGTAACGCAGAGAGCGCCTGATTCCCATGGGGCAGCAGTGGAAGGACAGGAGGAGGACAACCTCTGTCACAGGTTGTATTGTGTCCCCACAAAAGATTTGTTGAAGTTCTAACTCCCAGTATCTTGTAATGTCACCCTATTTGAAAATAGGGTCATTGAAGATATAATTCATTAAGATGAGATCATCCTGGAGTAGGATGGCCCTAAATCCAATGACAAGTGTCCTTATAAGATACAGAAGAGAAGACAGACACAGAGGAGAAGACACATGAAGACAGAGGCAGAGACACAGACACATGAAGACAGAGGCAGAGACTGGAATGATGTGGCCACGAGCCAAGCAACAATTGGGGCCACCAGAAGCTGGAAGAGGCAGGAAGGATCCTCCCCTAGAGCCTCCAGAGGGTATGGCAGTGCCAGGAAATTGACACAGATTTTGATCCCAGGAAGTGCTACTATAAAATAATCCCTAAAAATGTGGACATGGCTTTGGAACTGAGTAATGGATAGAAACTGGAGAATTTTGAGGTGCATGTTAGAAAAGACCTAGGCTGCCTTGAAGAGACTATTAGTAGAAATGTAGACATTAAAGGTGATTGTGGTAAGGGCTCAGAAAGAGAGAAGAGCAGTAGAGAAATCTATTGTCTTGGAGAATACATATATAATGGTGACCAGAATGCTGGCAGAAATGTGAATGTTACAGTCTGTTCTGGTGAGATCTCAGAAATGGGGAACATTATTGGACACTGGAGGAAAGGCCATCCTTGTCATCAAGTGACAAAGAACTTGGCTGAATTGTGTTTTAGTGTTTTGGGGAAGGTAGAACTTGTAAATACTGAACTTGGATATTTCACTATTTCCAAGCAAAGTGCTGAGGGCAGGGCCTGGTTTCCCCGGAACCATCTCACAGTAAGATGTGGAAGGAAAGAGTAAAATGAGAAGGGAATTATTAAGCGTAAAGGAACAAGACTGTGAAGATTTAGGAAATTCTCAACCTAATCATATTGCAAAAAATGAGAAAGCATGCTTTGGAGAGAACACCAAGGATGTGGCCAGACAACTGTTCTCCAAAGAACTGAGGTGTGTGACTTATGGATCCACTCAACTATGTCATCAGAAACCAGAAATAGAGATGGGGTTACCCAGGAAAGATTTGGAGGACCCTATTGTCCTATAATTTAGACCCTCATGAATTGCACAGGAGACCATCCCCTCTATTCCAGAGCCCTGCCCCCTCCACCAGAGGTCCCAGAAGACAGGGCATTGGGCCACAGACAATTCTTCTCAGGCCTTGAAACCTAATGGCATTTGCCCTGCTGGGTTTCGGACTTGCTTGGGACTAGTGACCCCTTTATTCCTTCCAATATTTCCCTTTTGAAATGGGACTGTCTATCCTATGCCTGTCCCACCAGTGTATTCTGGAAGCAAGTAACTTGTTTTCTAGGTTCACAGCATGCAGGCAGCTCCAGCAGGCTGTGTTGGCTAGTTTTGGGGGAGAGAAATGGAGAACAGAAACCCTGGAGAACTGGGGGCAGGCAAGGGTATCACATAAGTAGTATGAGGGGCAGGCCCGGAGGAGGAGCAAGGAGGTGACAGGAGCCTTACCTGCAGTCACTGAGTTCTCTGGACCTGTTGGTACAGAGAGTTGTTTCTGTTAGTGTAGAGGCCTCCTGGGGCCTGCAGCAGGACAGCCTGGCTCTATACCATGCAGTCAAGGTGGTGGGGCAGCAGGCTCAGAGACCAAGGGCTAAGACAGGCCTTGGTATGTTCCTGCTCAAGTCTAAGTGATGTTCGTGTGCAAAGCTCCCTGCTCCAGGAAAAGGGTAAATTGATATTGTAAAAAGTACTTAGGTGACCTGTCACCAGAGACAAGGTAGAGTCCCTCCCGAATCTCAGCTCAGTGGAAAGCCTGTAGGGAGCAACCAGGGTGTCCTCCCCAATGTTCAGCAGAAGTCCCCCTACCCCTCACTTAGGCCCCACTGACTCCAACTGGGCTCAGAATTCTAATCAGTGGGGATTGGCTTCCCAGCCAAAGCAACTTCCTAGCCCAAGGCTGTGCTGGATGCCCAGAGACAGACTGAGGGCAGCTAGAGGTGGCCTTCCAGGAAGAGAAAGAAAACCTAGGTTACCCCTACCCCCACCCTGAGCTTCAGCCCACAGGCCCAGGTGGCCACCCTGGGGACCTCCGTAGGGAGGCAAGGAAGAGCCCCACACTCACTGGTGAAGAGGTGCTGGATGCGAGGTAAGCCACTGCCAGGTCCACCCAGGAGGATGCTGACTACAATCCAGGTGAGACCCACAGTCACAACCAGAGCCACGATGCGGAGGGGGCCTGGAGGCAAGACAGACAAGGCAAGGCCACCTCAGATCCCAGTGAGCTTCAAATAACCCCAGTGCCTCTTATGACCAGGTCTCCCCATCCACTTGGAAGAAGCGACTGGAGAAAAGGAAGGTGGAGACCTGTGGCCATCCACAAGGCAACAGGGGGAGTCGAGCTCCTCACAGGTGGAAGGAGGAAACGAAGTTCCAACTCCAAGGCTCTCAGCTTGTTTCTCCCTGGCAGGTGTGGAGGAGCCTTCCAGAACTCACTGCTCAAGAGGGCTCCAGCACTCCCCCAGGAGCTCCCTAACTTCCTCCCTCTGAGGCTGCTGACATTTGTGTTCCACCCATCGTGTCCTCTTTTTCTCCTGTTATGGTGAAGGAGGAGGTCTCTACGCCTTTTGAAGACCAGTCCCTTCATCTGCTATGACTTGGACCCCGAGCTCTCCTCCCTGCTCAGGTTTCTTGTAACAAAAATCATTCCATCTCTGTCTCTCTTCTATTTTCAACATCCTCATAAGAGAGCACAGGAAAAAAAGCCCTCATTCAGAATCACATCCTTACAGTTACTGATCTCTCTCTCCTCCCTTCCTCTTCCCCATCAGTCCCTCCAAACTCACCTACACTAGCTCTTTCCATAGTCTCACCTCTCACCCTCTCACAACCTACCCCAATCTGGCCTTGCCTCCATAACCCCATGAAAACAACTTGTTTCCAAGGCCACCCATGACATTCTTGGTGTCCACTCCCCAGGTCACTTGTCAGCCCTAATCTTCCTTGACCTCTCAGTTGACTGCCCAAGCCCTCCTGCTGAAGACACTTCTCCGCTGGCTTCCAGGACAACACACTCTGACCCTACCTGGACACTCCTCATCCTCCTGGCTTAGATCCTCCTCCTCTACTCTCCCCTGAAAAGCTAGACTTTCCCAGGCTTCTGTCTCAGGCTGCCTCCTGTGCCTATACTCTACTCTCCTTCCTCTACCCTCCCTATAGGTGCTCTCATCTACTTCTGGCCTTGAATTACACCCCCCCCCC